ATAGAACAGGTTACCCAGAAAAGTTGTAGAATCTCCATTGCTGGAGATAAGCAAACTTAGACAAGGCCCTGAGCAGCCTGATCTCATGTTGCTTTGATCAAAGCATGATCTCATGATGACTTTGAATTAGCAGCTAACTTTGAAGCTGGTGCTGCTGTGAATGGGGGAAGGAGGCAGTTGAACTTCAGAGGCCACTTCCAAATAAATTATCCTGTCATTGTATGTTTTTATGTGTGAGCTGGGAATAAAGTAAGATCAGCAATAGAGCTTAAAGGATCATTTTTTTTGCTCTTAGTGAGCTTAGGACCCTGCAGATTTCCTCAGAGTAGGCAGTGCCCCGGACCTGAAAAATGTACATGTTTTTTGCAACTTTTTTTTTTATTAGAGAGAAACTGGCTTTCAGAACAGCTAAATGTGCTAGGTCATATACAGTAACTCTGATTCCTGCCAGAATCTGTCATTCCAGGGACTGATTCCGTGTAAAAATTTACCATCCCAGTCCTTTCCTTTTTCATATTGACATAAAAGAGATATGTGTAGTAGAGAAAGGAATGGATTCAAGTGCAGAGTTTTCATTTGTTGATTTTAAAGCCAGAATTTTTAAGTCCTTCCTTAGTTTTGAGAATGTTGCGTTGAGATGGGCCCCTTGTTCATGTCAGTGTCAGCTTTTCCTAAGCAAGGACATTAGGACTGGGATCAGTAGTCTTTTGGTTGAGTGGGGACTAGATGAAAATTGGGAAGATTCTCAGAATATGTCCAATGCAGAATAATTCTTCTGTGGGGTTTCATCTGCTACCTGGAATAATTTCTTAATCTTTCCTGTGAAGGAGAGTCCCTCCAGTCCCTTCACAGAACAAATATACTTTATCAGCACTTTATTATTATTTGTCTTCATGAGTTTACAGCTTACCTGATTTAAAGGAAGTCACTGCTACAATTCTTTGATTTACAGCTGGAATATTAAAAGGCTCCAAATTATTAATTTGCCTGAGAGAAAAATGCCTTTTTTGAATGCTCAAAGGCATTTCTCACAGTTTTCTGATTATTTATTGTAAAAATATACTGCCTGGCATGCTGAGCCAGATACCAATAATCAGTGACAGCATGGATGACTCATTTTGGTTGTATAGAACCATCCTATCTACTGAGTATCAAAACATTAGCTAGCAAGTTGAGCAGAGCCTCTCCTGCTCTACTGGCATGTGCAGCTTGTTTGTGCTCTGAATGAAAACCACACAATGGTAAGCTGCCAACACACTGCAGCTGATTATTTAAAAAACCCCACATGCTTATGTTCATATCAGAGACTGGCACCCCTTGTGAGTATGCACTTTTTACGTAGCTGTCTCAAATCAACGTGAAACTGAAGGTTACCAGAAATACGGAGCACTAATCTAATAAGCCTCTCTTGCTATTCCTACTTGTAAGATATAGATGTATGGGTATGAAGCTGTCAATGTGCATGGCCATTATATTACACTGACAGTTTCAAGATTTGTAAAAGCACTTGAGTCTTTCCTCTCTGCACATCTGAGTCCCATAAAATATTAACAAGAGTTACAGGCCATGTTGTTTGTGGACTGTACTCTCTAGAGTTCAAATTTTGTAATGTTTGTGGACTTTTTGCTATCTTTTTTTTAAACTGTTATCTGATGTTTTCATCTGATGTCATGTTACAAACAAAACCAGAGCCAACAAAAGGCAGAACAGCTCCAGAGAACCACACAAATACACAGGATAAACCACAACTTGAAAGCAGTACTTTGCTCCACTCAGGCCTTACCACTTCCTTGCTAATATTTCCCTTTCTGAATCATTTTTTTTGTACTTACCCAGCCCCCATCTGAGCTATATTTTTCCTGCTCTGTAGAAGAATTAATTTGATTTGACTTCCATTTATTTAAGTGCATGTTGAAAACCATTTATTTATTTCGGTGTGCATGCATGGTCTTATCAGAGAGCAAAAGATGTGGAGCCTGTTGGTATGTTGTTAGGAAATATTATGGTATTAATTATTATTTTCCATTAGGTTGCCTGTCTGATTTCAGTTTGTAAATCCCTAATGACAGAACCTTTTCTTTGAATAGCTATTCCAAATATCACCTTGCTGCAGAACATGGGAATGTAATAAATTTGCTGCTGGATCAGGTCAGCAGGCCATTTTTTCATGTTGATACATTTAGTAATATTGGTTACTAAACCTGAAATTAATTTAGGGGTGTCTACAGAAGCCTTAAGTACATCCCTTTTCTGTCTTTGTGTGATGCTGGGGTTTTTTTAGTAGACCATCCTGACCTCTATTGAGCTGGTAGAAGGAAAGGAGGCCTGGAGGGGATTCAGAGCCCTAAATATACTCTTAAAATGCATAGCTAATACTTAAGTTACTCTCCCCATATCTGCTGGAGATGTGGGAGGAGGTGCCGGCCAGTAGGTATGTTCCTTGGAAAGCAGTTTCAGCCACAGGGCTTTTTGCACTGTGCCCCCACCCCCCCCTTTAAGCAGCAGCTCAGTATATTTTGCAGCATGTCTTCCTGTTAGGCTACTTACGCTGCTGCACAGACTAATTCTAGACCTATTCATGTTTTATAGTATTACAAAGAAGTTTTGGCATCATTTTTCTAACTGCTGTATGGCCTTGTCATAGGAAAGTGTGTCCTCATGAGCCTGCTGCCTAGGACAGAACAGGAATCTGTTCCTGGATGAACTGTAGTCATTGCTGGTATGGTCAGAAGCTCTTGCTCATTTTCCTCTTTGCTGGGGCTCAGCATTTTGCTTAAAAGCTTCAAAAAAAACCCACCCCAGTGTTGTCAGAATGCTGACAAACGTCAGATTAGACTTCACCTGCAAAGGAGTGTAACATGCTGAAAGCCACGGCTGCTTTAGCCGAGACCCGCCTGTTGACACAGTCAAAGTCATGGTCTCATTATATTTGGCGATAGCCCTCAGTGCTATTGTTCCAGCTACCAAAGGACAAGCTTGCTTTGACATGTCCAGCCAACCGCGTCCCGGTGCCATGCTGCGCTGTTCTCGCTGCACCAAGGGCATTGCCATCCCGACTGCGAGTCGTCCTCGTCTTTCGTGTTTGCTTCTTAACGGCAAGGTTTAGGTGAGAACTGTGGGGCTCTCTGAGCCCCCTCTAGTGGATAGCTCATGGAAACGCCAGGCTAGTCTTTGCGAAAAGGCAATGCTCCGGCTCTGTCTCCTCGGGTGGTGGTAGTTCTGTGTCTGCTAACGTGAGCCTGGGAGACTAAAGCCTCATTATTTGATCCTGCGGTTTTGTTCCTTTAAAAGCCAAAGGAAAATCAAATGTGTAGCAAAGCTCTTTATAGCTGATAAAGTACACGGCGCCAAGTAAATCCATGGGCAATAGATAACTTAGTTCTAACAGAGCATTTGTATGTCTAGAAGTTTTATAGCTGTGGGCAAGTACATTTGTATTAGTGTTCTCATGTACAAAGGGATTATGGTATTTTTAAAGAAAAATGTTTCATATTTTTAGCACAGCAGGCACCTTTGATCAGCAGGAATGGAATTATTTGTGTGATAATTTGGAATTAAATTTGATTTACAGTATGTTAATTTAAAATTTTGTATTGACTTTTGAAATGACAGTCATCAAGAGGAGTGCCCAAAATTCTCATCAGAGATTAAATAAAGGGAGAGTGATTGCTTGAGGAACTGGTCTTCTGAAATGCTGAGATGCCTGACTAAACTCCTGTTGTCTGAGGGTCAATAAGCATTTCAGAGAGGCTGTAACTGTGCAGAAATGAAACACAAACTAGGAAGGCACACTTATCTGTTTTAAAAACTAATTTTGCTGAAGGTGGAAAAAATGTTAGATAACAGCGTGACATTTTAACTTCTTAGACACATGACTGAGCAAAGCGTTGATCACGATTTTACAACAGGAATTAAATCTAAGAGTTTGTATTTTTTAGCTGTTCTATCTATCTGAAATGTGGAAAAGTTGTTGGCAGATAAACTTCAAAGCAGCTGTGCTCAGGATGTTGAAGCTTTGCAATGTTATCAGACCCAGCCACAGAGATTGCATTTTAGCATTAGTGCTGGAAAAACTCATATTTGAAATGCATATTACCTCTCAGTACAGTAGATACTGCCCTCCCTCCCTCCCTCTCCTTCTCTCCCTTTCTCCCTCCTTCCCTCCCTCCTTCCCTCCCTTTCTTCTGCCCCCCCCGCCTTCGTTTCTGCCTCTCTTCTTCTTTTCAATGTCTCTTTCCAATTGTTCTGTCTTCCAGAACTATTTTCAAACACCACTTCCCAAATCATGCTGTGACATCTCACCAGAAGAGACTTTGTGTTTACTATCCTGTGTCTGTTGCCTGACTTGCATTCATGCATTACCTCCTACAGGCCCTGCTACCATGTAGGAGAAGGCGGTTGAGGGCTCATATTTTACTCTTTGGCATCCCTTTCACTGCTGTCCCTAAGGTGGTCCTCCAGCCATTTTTCTCTGCTTGACTTTCTGTATGTTTAACCTTTCCTGAAATCACTTCTCCTACTCTTACTACTGACATTTGGGTGACTCATCTTGGGAGTTGATAATGTGAGACAAGTGACATTAAAATAGTACACAGTCAAATGTGTGTTTGGACAGCCTATGTCCATAATCGTACTCCTGCCGTGGAAGAGTGCTGGATGGCTGAGAGGTAAAATTGGTGGGTTTTATCAGCGACATTATTTCAGTACTCAAAGTGAGGAACTTGGTAAATCGCCATTAACTTCATTAGCATAGTTACACTTTTGTTGGTAGACATTTGGTAACATCACTTTTTCTGCAGCTGACGCTTTTTTTTCCTTGGGATTACTTATGTTTATAATAGGAATCCACTTATATATACGTGCACAGCCATAGGCATACACGTATGTATACTCTAGCATGCACACACATGCCGAGTCTTTGTTAATTGTTGTTAACTGCTGGTGGTTTTTTATTACAAAACATATTTCTCTATCAATCTGTTTTCACTGCTTTGTTTTAGCTTCACCTAATGCACTGGAACTCCACACTGTACAGCAGCATTGATGAGGCAGTAGGGAAGAAGCATGGCATAGCTATTATTGCTTTGTTTGTGCAGGTAAGTTTCCTGTGTTGCACTATCATTTGTCTGAAGAGAATGAGTTCCTTTCCATTTTCTTTCATTTTTAATGATTTCATAAAACAATGTATGACTGCTGGTATTCTATTTGAAATATACTTCTCAGTCATGTTTTCTGGGTGTGTGTATTGAAATTCCATTGTGAATTAAACAAGTAATCTTTGTTTAAATGGGATGTTGGGAGTATGTTAGTTAAAGAAGGGATGATACATAATTGGCCATCTCTCTGTGACTCTGGCTATAAGCAGATATCCACTCTCCATTCTTCTGAGGACAGAATGAGGTTGTCAAGAGGCACAAATGCTTCACTATATCCGTGATGTGTTGTTCTCCATTCCTGGCCAGGCCTGCTGTTTGGGGATTGAGGAGCTATACAGAGGAGGTGAGGAAAGGGGAAGAAAAAGCCTAACCCATTGGCACAGCTGAAAACCAATAGTAGGCTTGTGCTTTTCTGAACACAGGGACAAGTGTGTTTCTTCACACAGAGTGCATGTGAGGTGGGATGACATCACTTCTTCAGAGATGCCAGGCTGATAGTGTAGCAAGACTTGCCACAGACCCCAAGAAAAAGCCTGTGACAAAGGAGGCTTAGAGCTTCCTGGGGAGAAGGTGTAATGCCAGCTGGGAAGTTAGCCCCATTGTCTATTTGCTATTGAAGGTGCTTCAAGGGATGTACACTATAAAGAAGATTTTCAGTGTTAGTCTCAGACACCATCCTCCTCATGAGAAATGGCAAACTTTTATTTAAATGGGTTTGGAGGAAGAGGTTTAGAGTTCATGCTTAGATCAAATGGATTTTCTTTCACAGTCATATTATTAATTTGTTGTATTTCATAGCGAGTTTATGAGTGCCTTTGAGCTTTACTTCTGTTTGAATTTAAAGGTATGTTGGTTACAGCTCCAACACTCAGAACTGCTAAAAATGGAAGTTAGTCTTCAGTTTTGTATCTGGAGGGCTGTGTAATAATTGCTTATGTAAGTCACTTTCTAATTCCAGCAGAAGTAACCTTTGAATTAGTTAGAAAGTTATGTATAAGTTCTTAAATAAATCTGAAACGTCAATGATACATTTTCCATTTCTGGTCTCTCACCTTCATCAGAGTTTGTAAGTATTCTAAAGGGCTTTTTCATTAGCCAAGAAAGGCATCATATAATTACAACTGACCAAGAAATAACAGCATTTATGCTGTTTATTAAAGAAGTAGGAGAGGAAATTTGGTGAACATTTCTTCTGTTTCAGAGGCATGGAAATGTTGTAGTTTTGCATCACAGTTCTCAAAGACATCATTTTAAGTTCAATGAAAATATTTTCACTGATTTAAGTGTCATTTAAGTGTAACCCTTGGTGATTCTTAAAACAGTGTCTTTGAAGTGATTTCTGTATCTTTTATGCATGTTGAAGGTTTAAAATTGAAATTCCATTCTGAAACAAAAGAAAATCTTCTTAAATTCCAAGAAATAACAAAGTACATTTTGTTTGACATTCAGTTGTTTCCCTCCAGTGACTACTGTGCTGTTCTATTCCAAAAGAAACAAAAAACAAACAAAATTTTCAGGGTCTAGCTTTCCTACTCTCACTCTTGCCTGCTTTATTCCTCACCTCAAATGTGTATGTGTTGGCAAAGAAATCAAGTGGAAGGCTGTTCTCTGTCTTCCTATTTCCGAAATGTTGTTCTGAATGTAAAAGCCAGGATCCTAGAATGGGCAATTTAGAAGCATCTGAAATCGCTGTGCAGAGTGAGCAGCATACGTGGAAAATGAGAATCTTTTATTTTGACAATGGGTTTCTTTTGAAAGCCCCATCTTCTGTGCATTTAGTAAAGGCAGTGCTGTAGGCTGCCGGGGTCACTGGCAGGAACCCAGAGATGCCATGAGGGAGATGATCTGCCATTCTGCACTCTGCAGGCAGGAAAAAACTCCCCCAAGCTTCACCTTGGGCCAGATTTGCAACACTGTGGGGACAAATTTGAAAAGTGGCTGTCATGTTCACTCTGTTCCTTTCTGTGTACTTCTCTGACAAAAACTGGTAAGGACAAACTGTATCCTTGGCATTTATATGCCATAATGCTGCATGATTTTGACTCCACATGCAGTATATGCTGCAAAACAGGGTTAGTCAAAACTTGCCAGTCTTAACTGTGACTCTGTCTCTTGTTCTGTGAGTTTCTCTTTCTGCTTTAAAGTTATTTACCTCATTTCCTTCTAACTGGTGGCTTTACAGTGGTTTAATTGTTTGGAGGTGCCGTGTATCAGTGTGTTTGGTTAACACAATGCTGTGTAGTTTGACTGAAACAAACTACAGAACTTACTGTTCTGGCTGACCTCAGTCTTGCCTTAGAGTTTCTGAAACAGCAAAATACTGCAACTCATCTCTGCTTGCTGCATTTCAGATAGGAAAAGAGCATGCAGGCCTAAAGGCTGTGACTGAAATTCTCCAGGACATCCAGTACAAGGTAAGGCATTGTATGAAGAAATGCTTCCTTCATTGACCAGGTAGAGAGAAAGTAAGCGTGTGTGAAGCTAAGAGATGGGTTTCAAATGTTTTTGGGGTAAAGCCATGTGTGAAAAATGTAATTTGGTGGCCTGCATCAGAACCTCAGCGTTTTACAGTATTCAGATAATATGCAGTCTTTGTAGTTGCTTCCTTTTCTGGTGGCCAGAAAATTTGATCTCCTATACCAGTAACTGATTGCAAATAGTCCCTTTTCAGTGATTTTCATGGAGTCAGTGTGAATGTAAACACTGCACCATGCTTAGCGAACACCAGCAGCACTATCTCCAAACTATCTGGTTTTCATTTGTAGAGGAAAAGAATAGATGAACTGAGCACCCATATTAACTTGCAGTGGGAAATCAGTGAACACAATGCCATCTTGTCAGGTGGAGTATGTGTGGGGCTCCTGAAGGACAGATAATAAACCTAGCAGGACTGAGGAGATATGAGTGCTTTCCAGAACATTAATGCTATCTTAAATGACCTTGGGCAAGTTACTTCCATCTCTCTGCTTCATGTCTCTGTCTGTGACATAGAAATAATCATTCTTACCTTTGATTTTAAAGGACTTTGAGATGTATTAATGAGATGTTCTGTATTGGTCTGGAGACATTAGCCATTCACCTCAGTGGATGCTGAAGTGTAGAAAAATTAGAAGCTGTTATTAGAATGGAATTGAAAATATGTCAGTCAAATAATATATGGTAAACTTTAGTCATGATGCTTAAGATTACAAACTCATTGTTTATGAAGGTGTCAGGGAAAATAGTTAGTGTTTAGAACTCCATATTTCATTACTGAAATGCCAGCCAAGTAGAGGAAGGTCATGAAAGGACTTGTCATTGTGAGTGTGTTATAATAACAATTTTCAGAGGATCAGCATCAAATGTACTTTTGGCATACAAAAAATTTTCTTGCATTAAATATGTGAAACCAGCTTTATCTTATTAAGTGTCATCCACATTGTTCAAAGCAAAGCTCACTTTGGCCCTTGGATTTTAAACTCAGAAACCCTGAGTTTCATGTAGAGAATTTCAAGGCTGGGACCTGGAAGGAGCTCAGGTACTAAAGGCAGAAAGTTAGCAAATTGTTGGGATAACCTTAGAAATAAAAAATAAAATACAATAAAAAATGTGTTTGCGTAGCTGCAAGGACAAATGCGATGATGATTAAATGGGGGCTAGTAATGAGGTTACTTTGCACAGAAATTCAAGTCTTAATGTTATAAGAGCACACAGCGTGTTTTACCTCTCCATTCATCATCATTTTAATAGAAACTAGATATGAGATTTATTTGTATTCACTTTTTCAGGGAAAGTCCAAAACAATACCCTGTTTTAATCCCAACTCTTTATTGCCAGGTAGGTGTCTTTGCTTATTTTTGTGTATGTGGATTAGTACCTAGTTGCAGAGGCTGAGACAATCTTGAGCTAAAGCACAGTCTAACTGCAAGCCTGGGAGTATGTCCCATAAGGTGGTAATACATTTTGCACCTAGTGCTGCTAACAGGAATAGGGATGAATTCCCTTTGGAATTTATGATACAACTGCACCTGTGAGTGGGATGTGATACTGTAGTCCGTGCACTGCTGGCAATACTGCTGCTAATTTTCTTGATGATTTCTCATCCCATCTAAAGGGGGAGCTGTGTGTATTGCTTTCTCTAGTTTGGCACAGAATAGGAAGCTAAGGTTACCCACTTACCAAGGTAGCCTTTTGGCAGCATCAAAAGGCAGTGGATAATGCAGTGACAGTTCTGTAGTATACAAGGAGTAGTGACAATGGAAAGCAAATTCAAATTCATATGGCTGAAAGAGTAATAGTGAGAAACAACGACTACCTTTACTACTTGTCTACTACTACTACACTACCTTGTCTTAAAAAGAACATGACTTTAAAAAAAACCCCACATTTCTACAAGATAAATGTTTCTGCAAGGAATCTTTGTGAGCTAAATTCTGCACTGTAGTAGCAGGATCTTAAATTTTCAAAGTACTCCGGGTCTACCTGAAACTGTATCAATTATATATATCAAAAGAATGCTATTTAGGTTGCAAAGTCAAGTGCTCAGCAATTAGGAATTGCAGGAATTTAGGCTGCCTGTGCCCCTTTGTGCATATATGTTAGAAGACATCTTTTAATTGCATGACCATAAATTATTTTTTACAGGACCCCTGCCTCACAGTTCCTGTTTGATGCTGATTGAGTCACATAAACCAAAATTTTCATATGTCATCTCTAACTATGTGTTCCTCATTTTCTAGGTGCCCGACTTGAGATCATGGGGTCTGATTTGCAGAAGTGCTGAGTGCTTACGCCTCCAACTGAAGTCAATGGGAGCAGTGCTCTGACTGTATTAAGTGCTATAGAAAGTTAATTACTCTTGAGAAATCAGGTTCTAAGCATCTCATACTGAACACCTCAAGTGAATAGATGCATTTGACATTAACTTCTCTGTACTCAGTTCCCCATCTTTAAAATGTGGCGGTAATTGTCTTTCCTCACACCATGGGGTGTTGGAAGGATAAATGAAGTCACGTTTGGGAAGCACTCAGACACTGAAGAAATGAGTGCATTAGAAATACGAAAAATGACAAAATGTGATCCTTGTAACAAGCAGGGTTCGACTAGCATGGAAAAAAGAAGACTAAGACCGCATATTGTGCTGAGAAATCAAAATGTTATTAGAAGGTTTTCAAAACAAAATAATCCATCTTTTCAAGTAAATGATGAAAGGTTCTCTTGAAAAGACATACGATCATGTAACAAGATGGTGTCACAGAGCATGCACAGGATGGGCTGGATTAATTCTTGCAGTTCTTAACTCCTGACTGATTGATAATGCAACTTGCTTTCAATGGATTTGCCATATAATTCCCTAACTGAGAAAGAAAATTACTCCAACAAACCAAAATCCATTCACTGACAATCGCAGGCTTCAATAGCAAGATTTAGTTCTACTGGTACTCCTCTAAGCTAGTAGTGAAATGGCAGTAACAGGTTAGGTCATCCAAGCAAGTTTCTTTGTCTCACATTCTGTACTTGTCAAGCCAGTGACAATCTTCCCCCTAGCTCTCCATGGCATGATTAACCACCCTTTGTTTCCAGTTCCTCTCTAGGTTCGTTTCTTGTCCCTTCTTTTACAGTCAGGCAGTTTCCTCTCCATACATCTTAAGCTCTGTCAGAGAGTGATTTGTGAGTATGGCCTACAGCAGCAAAGGAAAGCACTGTGTAGTCTTGCAAAGTGCAGTGTGACTCAAATCTTTGAAGAATTGAGGTTAAAATAATTAACATCGAACTGTTGTATGTTGTGTTGTCTTTAGAGTTAAAACTCTGCTTGGACAAACCATTGCACATTTTCTTGAGAGACAACAGTTCTTTATAAACCTATTAATAAGCTTATAAACTTATTAAAATAAATTTATTCTTAAAGAAACCTTGATTTTTTTCCCCTATGAAATTCAACTCACTTTCCAAAGCTAGGAGGCTCCAGTGCAAATCGAAAAATGTCACCAAAATTGTGAACTGAAAAGTTTGGCTTGAGCTGTTTTCACTGACTTTTTATAAAAAACGAAATAAACTCATCCTTGAGACATGTCCTAAATGTGGAAGTCAGTGAAAATTTGATCACCACAGACCCTCTGCCTTCAAAATAAGATGTGTCTTGTAGCTTTGTCACTAAGAGGAGTTCTTTATCACCACATTATTTATTTGCTGTGTTAGTTTAATGAATCATGCACATTATTTTTCACATCTATGAAGTGGCATTTTCATCTTTAAAATGGTCATCTGCAGGGAGAAGTTACTGCAATATAATGACCAGAAGACATGAGCTAAGTGGTGGACAGTGCTTGGCAGGTTATAAATTCACACTGTAGCTTACTATGTACTAACTTCATCATATGAGCAAGCTCGTGGCTGTCATAAGGTGTCATAATTGAAAAACAGAGTGATGTTTCTTAATGTTGTTAAAATTCCACATTTCTTTCAATTTCAGATCCTCTTCTGCGTGACTACTGGGTGTATGAGGGCTCCCTAACCATTCCACCCTGCAGTGAAGGTGTCACCTGGATATTATTCCGCTATCCTTTGACTGTGTCCCAAGTGCAGGTAACAGCTGTGCTTAAAGTGACCTTGGAATATGGTTATGAGCTAAAGGTTATAGCGTGCAAATATATATATCAGGACATTATATCTGTTCTCCTTGAAGATCCTATTAGATCAGTACATGGCTTTTCAAATAAAGGTTAAGCCTTTTGAGTCACTGAAAGCAATGCAAAGGTCAGAGATGAAAAACCTTATCATTTATCATCTGCATTTAAAATAATTCTTTATTTAAGTGAAAGAAAAAGAAAAAAGTCAATGGGCAAGAGAAATTCAATTCTTTGTAATTGTAAGCTTTCAAATATCACTGCTTTTTGATGTTAGAAGAACAAAAAGTCACAGGGAGACACTATGTCCTGGAGAATGAAAAATGTTAACGTAGTACAGGCTAGCTGTATTGCACTGAACTATATTTAACTTGTCTTGCTTTTCCAATTCTGTTTTGTAATGTATGTCAAATGGAAACTGCTTATTTAGGTTTGATTTTACATGTATGTATGTTAAAGTTGGATTTTTTTAATAAATTTTATCTAGCAGTCATGTAAGGCTTTCTGTAGAAAACATTTCAAAGCTGTCTGTAAATAATCCTGGTAAAAACAATGAAAATTCATGATTCTCCCACATTCTGTGAATCCTCGTTGGAGAAATGTGGGTTTAATTTAAGTGAAACTGTTGAGAATCCCTGAAGGTGAATGTCTTAATCTTCATTGCCTGCTCCGAAGCATGTGCAAACAGAAGGGAAAAAAGTATTAAAGGTGATAAATTCAGATTTACATTATTTCATCTTTAATACTCTAATTTTTTTCTAGTAATCCCAGCACAATATTTTCACAATTTGGCAGTGTTTCTTTTCAATGAAAACTGAATCCTAGTTCTAATCATATGATAAAAGCAATAGCTCCCAGTAAGCTTATTTGCATGGTAGCTGCAACTTAAATGTATCCCATCATGAACCTGGTATTTATTTGCTTGTGAAAGGGAAAGTCTTATGGCTGGTTACTACTGAGTAAAGAGGAAACAGAACTCTGTTGGCATTATTAGATTCAGAATAACTTTAAAATTAGACCCTGCATTTTGTAACTTGGCAGCTAATTGTCCAGGTATTATATGGATAGCTAAGAGTATTTAATCAGAATTATAAAGACCATAGCTATGACACTGAGACATTATATGATATTTGATTTCATGCTACTTGCAGATTTTGTAGTCTCTATTCCCTTTTAATCCAGTCGATGCACAGAGGGCACAATTCAAGCCATCCACATATGGTGGGAGATGGAAGGCCAGGTTGAACAGAGCCTTGGGCGACATGGTGTAGGGTGAGGTGTTCCTGCCCATGGCAGGGGGGTTGGAACTAGATGGTCTTAAGGTACTTTCCAAACCAAACCATTCTATGATTCTATGATTCTGTGATTCTATGGTGAGAGGGTGAATAAAAGAGCAATTAAGCAGAGAAATGTGAGTTTAGTTAACATTATTGTGTACTCATTTACCACAAGGAAACAAGGTGTTGGAGCATAGTGTGAAGGGGCTGAGTCTCCAGAAGATAATATTATGCCTGGGGAAAAGATTTTGACTCATAACCATGGAGTTCTTTAAGTGAGGGGTAGCTGTTTTGTGTTTTACTGCCTTAAATTGTTATAAACCAAATCCAGTGAAAGCATTGCAGTGACAAAGAGTGCACATGTCATGGGGGGCTTTTTCCCTGCCACAGACAGGTGCGTATGCAGGTGAGATGTGGCACTGGACCAGAGCGAGAGACTGGAATGGGCTTATGCCAATGTGATCCACAGTGCTTTGAACTTGTAGATCAGCATCCCTTAGGAAAAAAATAATTGATAATTACAAATGCAGCAGCATTAAAATTAAGGTTGTGCAGAGGCAACTTAGTAAGCACATGAAGGACTTTTGCCAAGATGGGATAAAAATTTTACTTGTATCAGATACTGCTTTCAGATGTCAATTGAAAATAAATATGTGAACAAATAAGTGAGAGATGGTGATTCTGGGATTCGGAAAAGGGACTGAGAGTTCTCCATGGTGCCCAAAATATGATTTTTAGGGTGCCGGGATAGTTTGCTATAGCCTAGGCATCCAAGATTTTAACTTGTAATTAGCATTTTGGCTGCGGTTAAGTATTGGGCCTCTTTTGTGCATGTGAGCAAGAGTGCCTATGAGAGATTCAGTTTAAGGAGATATGGGAAATATAAGGGCTTTTCTCTATGGAAAATGAGAGACGTAGTATGGCATATAACATTCTGAAACATCCATGGCAGGCTGGTAAAGGCATTTAATTTTATTAATCCTGCTTGTAGTGTTAAAGCATAGATTTCAGCACAAATGCATTTCTAATGGATTTAAATATACTATTTTACATGTGTCATTAACTTGTAGAACTTTCTTCTGTGAGATATTAATGAATACAGCTTATGAAACTTCAAGCCATTTATATAAATACTAGTAGCATCTGTGGTTATAGCCAATAAGAGACAAATTTGAGGCTTTCTACTTTCATTTTTCAGGCCATAAATAATCAACTTCTGAGTGTCAATAACAAGAAACAGTAAAGAGCAACACAGTCCGATATGCAATAGGTTTTATTGCCTTCCTCCGGTGAAGCTTGTTAATATATTGGAGACAAGATACTCATTCATATTCTCTTTTTCTGTAATTAACACAGTAATATTGGTTAGCTTAGCAAATTGTAGGTCATAAGTGAAAAAAAAGAAGAAAATTACAATTCTAGTTCATGGTCACATCTGTATATTTTCACATTTGCGTATTTTTTGAAACAATGAAGAAGTAACTATTTTAGCATAGACATAACAGGCTGATCATTGCAAAGTGGAGAACCTTTTCTTGTTTCTTCTGAAGACATTTATAGGTAGTAAAGTTCAACTGATGAGCTGATTTGCTCCTGATCCAAGTCAATGTTAAGTGAAAGGAGATTCATCTCTGCGTGCACCTCACTTCAGCAGCCGGCATGTGAGTGTGTTTGTTATATGAACAGCAAAAGAGCAAGCCAGGACTACAGTTGGGATGTACTTTGCTGGAGTCCAGTGCTGTCTCCTCATTGGAAGTCACTGGCTTCACTTCCATCAGAGAGCTGTTTCCTTCATGGGTCTTTCTGTGAGGTCTGAATAAAGTGTGCAGGCAACTCTTCTCCCTTGGAAAATAAGGGCTTTCCAAATCTGGTTCTAGGAGTTTTATTACTGATCTCAGTGGAAAGGAGCTTGTCCGGGAAGCAGCACCCTGCAGTGCTCTTTTAGCATATTCCTGCTCACCTTTTGTGTTTTTTTTATCATCCTCACATGTCTTATGTTGAAATATACAGCCCAGGAAGAACTGTGCTGACTGCTTTTGTGAGACACCTCAGCCATGCCTGTACATTGCTGAAATGCAATGGGAGAAAATAGAACCTGTTAGGCCAGTAAAGAGCAGAAAATAATTGAAAAAGACTTGCTCGTGCTTCTCTTCACTATATTTTTTAAAAAACTGGACATTTGTGAATAATGTGCTTTGTGGTTCACTGGAGCCCAGAACAAGTACATTGTCTAAGCCACTCAGAATAGGGATTTTAAACAATGATGCAGCATGGAGCTGTCATTCTGCTGTACTCATTGTCAGACTTAACTGGCTTTGTATTGAATGGCAAGGTCTCTAGTCCTTTTGTGTACCTTATTCAAAACCAAGACCTCCTGAAGCACAGAAATAGTAACTAGCATATGGTGCTGGAGTGGGAATTGTGTAAAATTTTTGTAGTCTGTGAAATAAAGTGCTCTGACAGGTTCATGGTATTCAGGCAAAAGGATAGTGCTTCTATTCCTCATATAGAAGAAATGTCTGTGGAAAACATGCAAATTCTTTGTTTTGTGTGTTCTATTCTACAGCAAATATTTAAGGAAGCAAAAAAAAAAAGCAGTCTTCAAGATCTGAATAAAGGGAAGTGGTAAAAACATTCTTGCAAATTTTTTCAAAATATAAGCTAATAGTGACTGTTCACATTGTGGCTTTACTTCTTCACTGGTTAGAATTTGTTCCTGAATTTCAGTCTGAACAAGCCTAAGTCATCCTCAGTGTCTTCTGGGAATGAGAAAAGTTTTTCTAAATGGCTATTCCCGTTGAAAGTATGTGAATATCCAAGGATGCTTCACCATGTGCCTCTAAAATATCTATTTCCTTGGCAGTCCTACAAGGTGTACTTCACAGCATTGACTTGTGAGGGGTTGGGAGGAGAAAGTAAGCAGTTCCGTATGACATTGAGCAGGATGTGTGCGGCACACGTATTGCTTTCTCATGTGGAAATTTAACAGGGGAAGTATTGTCAGCACAGCTGGTGTCCTTTTCTGACAGAACTACTTCTCAAGAGTGAAGTAGACAACTGTTGTGTATAGAAGGTCTCTGTCTGAATCATGATATGAAGGACTAAACAAGGAGGCTGATGATCTCAGAGGCGATTCCCCTTTGGAGGAGGGCTACAATTCTTTACTTCCCTAAAGACCAAAGAGCAGGCATGGGGATCAGGTCAGTCCTACTTTCCTGACTGAAGAAACTGGAAGCTGCTTTGTGAGGAGTAACTCCGGGAGAAAGATTTTACTGTGGGGACTGAGACAGAGCATTTGTAGTTATATTGGGAGACAGCTCATAAATACCAGCTTTGCAGAGTCTGCTCTTCCTTCTTGATCTGTGTTTGTTTGAAGTCTCTTTCTCAATAGATCAAACAAAAGCCACATTCTTGTAAAATGTTCCTTCCTAAACTGCAAGTATTTCAGATTTTTGAGAGTTGATTCAGACGATGAAAGAGGCTACCTTTACAAAATCCTTTCAGTGATTTACTAGTGTCTGACTCCTGAAGACTTTTTCAGTTCCAAGCCTGTAGTAAGTTTGTTTTCAGTTTGCTTTAAACAAGCAAACAGAAATCATCCAAAACAGGATTCTGTTCTCAAAGAACCTTCAAAGAGCTTTACAGTTCATTCTGCTTTTCATCTTTTGAGTCTAAGCTGTTGTCTTATATTTCAGCTGTGGGAAGCTGAGTGTTGATTTTCAAGCGCGCTGCTTTCTGAGGAAAATAAAGCAGAACAGAGCTAGCCTCTAAATCAAGTAAATAAGTCTGTATCAGTTCTGCTGTAGAGTGGAAAACAGCAATGAAGGCAGTTGTCTTCCAGGTTGCAGTGAGAAAGAGTTCTCTGCAGGCAGTAAAAGAATAAAAATGCCATTAACTGCTATTTAGTACCTCATTTCTTTTAATCCTGGAATCACACTTGCATCCTCTCTGTAATCCTTCACTGGGTGTTTTTCATGGAGAAATTAACTCTCTATAATCTCTTAGATGATAAAATGATTAAATACTTCAGGCTTCATTTTGCTTTTTGTGTAGCTTGTTTCAAGTCACAGCTGAGCTGAATAGTGAGGCATCACAGGGTCAGTACAGGCTCAAAGGCTCCTGCTAGAGGAGTCAGCCTTCAAATAGGTTTGCTGTATCCAGCTAGTGTAGCTTGTCAATATGCCAAAGCAAAACCAACCACAATTTCTTACTAGTTGTAACTGCTTATTTAAAATATAATTCTCTTAAATCAAACAGCAGTGTTGAACAATAAGGTGTAATATTGCTGAGATATGCATTGATTTTCTTAGTTTTTTATCATACAGAGCTTGATGCTGATATCAGGGATGGAGAAGAGAGCTGCTCACATTCTTCCCTACACATTTAGAAAAATCTAAAGCAGAAACATATTTGTTTTGGACCAATAGAAATGTTTTATATTGACTTTTTGTTTGTATTTGATTTCTAAGTACACTTAACACCTGCATCTACAGAACCACCAGAAGGAGTATTTTATTTTGATGGGAAAAAACATATTTTTCCATATAAAATTTCAGCAGACTTCCTCTAAAGCTGAGAGTCTGTTCAGAATTCTGGTTTAGAAATAATTTTTATTTAAATGAAGCAACAGTTTCAGGCAATAAATAAATTACTGGAAGAAATTCAGAACCATTTATAGTCAGCCAAGTTATTAATGAAATGCACCTCTTTGAGGAAGACCAGAATGATTACTTTCATGTCACAACTGTGAGGTTGATTCATAGAGTGTAATACACAATGGCTAGGAAAGTTATAGATCCCAAAAGAAGCTGTGAAAAAGCAAAAGATAAGTTTATGCACATGGCAAAACTGTGTGCATAAAAGTTATTACTTTTCTCTGTTAAATGCTTTGACAGTGCTGACAACTATTTTTAAATGTTACTAATGATGTATGTTGACCTCAGCATGTGGTACCCGAACACTCAAATTATCAAAGCTGCAGAAGTGGCTGATTTTGATCATTGGTCATTAGTGAAGAATGTATCTCAGCTTTTTCATGCCTGTTTTTCTGCCTTTCAGATAGAGGAATTTCGTAGACTGAGGACACATGTTAAAGGTGCTGAGCTTTTAGAGGGCTGTGATGGAATCCTAGGAGATAACTTCAGACCAACTCAGCCACTTAGTGATAGAATCATCAGGGCTGCATTTCAGTAGCAGAAGAGGAAGAATAACAAAAATTAATCTTATGCAGGTAAGTAAAAGCTTAGCAGAAAAATCAAAAAATTGAAGTAATTTTCGTAGGGGATCTTTAGCTAAAGCAGAAAACACACTGAGTTTATTTCAGCTGATGTTATGATATATTGTCACAGTCATAAATTTTGACACTACTGTTTTGTTCTGTCCTGTGATATAATAGTTTGGTTCTTGGAGTAGTTTGATTACTGTTAGGTTCTTTAGTGGCTGGAATCTAATATACAATTTGGTGAATTGAAATATTTGTAGTGTCTTCAGTAGGCAGTGGGTCATTCACAGATCACAGTTACTTCCTGTAGCTTTAAATTTCTCCTATTGCAGTAAGCAACCGCACAGTATATACTGAGGTTAGTTCAGTAGTTGATATCTTACTTTTTTTTTTTTTAGAAGAGCAGTCATTGGTGAATATTTCTAGTGTTGCCTGTTAAAAAACAGGGTAGTAGTTCTGGAAGGAAGCCTTTACTTCTCAAAGGAGGCTTTTTTTTTGGATCCTTTCTCCCTGCTTTACAATGCTGTTCTTTCCCAACAAGACTGAATCTTGGGCAAAACCAGTGCAGATGCAAGAAGAAACTAATTAACTTCTGTCATGACTAATATATTTCATTCACGGAAGTAGTTGCTGCTTCGTGTCATCAGTGATGTTTTCAGCCGTCACTGGCTCACAGAGCAAGAATTTAAGGATTACATTGAATTCAAGGCGTAAGAGCTAATACATACATGAACCCACATCATCCGCAGTTCAGTTATTAAAAACCTCCCATGTCATGTTCCCCTAGCCTCTCTATCAGTTGCAAGATACATTCCCTCAGTGCTCAACATTTATGCCTAAACCTCATTATGTTTAGTTAACCAATGTTGTACTATAATGAAGAACCTTGTAATGAGATTTTTAAAGTCCAGGGAAGTGGTTGAGTCCCCATCCCTGGAGGTATTTAAAAGATGTGTAGACGTGGCACTTAGGAACATGGTTTGGTGGTAGACTTGGCAGTGTTAGGTTAATGGTTGGAATCAATCTAAAAAGTTTTTCCAACCTTACCATTTCCATGATTTTAAGACAATTCATTACCTTGAAATTAATGAGCCAAGACACTAACAATTATGGCTCATTTTGTAATGAAGTGGCTTCAACTTGATATAAATAGTAAGACAGCTGATCTAGGAAGTCTTCAAGAAAAGAATGGATCTATTAACTTGCTTTCTTTAAATTAAAGTTCTACTACTTTTTTAACATAGTATAATTTTTCATCTACTATCCTACCATAAACTTTATTTAGGTAATAAAGACACTGGGTACTCTACCCTATTTTACTGATATATTTTCATATAAAAGTATCAGTTTTTCTATCTGCACATTTCTTCAAAGCTATATGCTCACAAGAGAATTAATTAATGCAGAATTTGGAAAGGAAGCATGCTTCTGGAAGGTTTTTGATGAACACTTTTGGGTAAGGACATCTATTTGTACATTAATTTTTGCCGTATCTGAGTCAATGATGGAACTCCTTAGTGCGCATGAAACTCTGTTATGGAGTTAATCCTTTTCAGAGCATGCTCTGGGCCCAGCACCCATATTGATACGAAGTTAACAAATGATCGGGCAGCTGATAATGCCTAAAAGAAATTGATAATTTCGTGCTTCCAAAAATGGATCCATTAAAAGCGAGTGGGAAGATTATCTTTATTCCTGCACGTGACAAGAAATATTAAATAGGCTGGGACAGTGGCCAACAATTTCATGGTCTTTCCATGTAGCATAAGCATTCAATATAGTGTATCCTTCTAAACATTTTTGAAATGAGGGTTTGTTTGTATTTTATAACCCTATTTAATATCCACACCCCTGAAGTTAAGCAAAGAAAGCAAAACATCGGTACTTTTATTACTACTGTTTTCTCATTCTGCTATTTAATTTTGGGCACATCCCTAAGCCCAATTCTCAATTACATGGTTCTCTGCAGTCACCAAATGTCATCACTTTAATCTTGAAATGGATGTTTCAAATTCATCCCGGCTTCTGCATAAAAATTACTCGGGAAAATCATAGCAATATTAAAGTACAATTTTTCTCAGAGAGTGAATAATGCCCTCAGGCCAGTGCAGGTAATTCAAGTCTGTAACAGTGAAATTACTTGACACGCTGAGTTTGAATTTTCAGCATGAAAGAGTTTCCTTTACAATGCTAGAATTGAAATGTAAAAATTTCCCTTTTGCTTTCATGTTTGAAATTTTGTTACATTTGCCAATACTTATAAAGATTTGTTTAAAATAATAAGATTTATCTTGGCCATGGTTCACATAATCTGCAGTTTTAATTCCCAAATGATGGAATTTTTAATGTAAAGTAATAGTCCTTACTGTAGGGCTATGCTAAGCACAGAGAAAGAACTGTGACTTCTGGCATTGTGTAGCCCACAGAAGAAATGGCATTTGGCTCTCTATATCTGATTGAATTACTTATCAGAAATTCATTTGGCCAGGTCTTCTTTTTAGTTTTGGATGCATCGGTCCAAATAGCACTGAACCAATCAAAGGTTTACAATATATCCTTGCTATTGAATTTGTCTTTGGGGAGCCAGAAGAATGAAGTCTAAAAAGAAATTGTGTGGCTTTGATCACCTTTTTTCTATTCAAACAGAGAGAAAGAAAACAATTCTACTTCCTTTGTAGTGATTTCCTCACACAGTTCTGTCCAGAAGGAAGGTGTTGAGGAACTGTAGCTTCCCGCAGAGATCTCAGACATCCTCAGAAGACACCTTCCCTCATGCATAGGAATGGGTAATGGTCCTTAAGCTAGGACTGCTGACATTGACTGAATATTGTGATGAAGACTCAGTAGCAAATGGGGAAGTAATGGTTTGCAGGGTAGCATCTATATAGTGATCCAAGAGGAATAATTTCTTTCTTTCAAAGAGATTACCTTTTATTTTGAAGCTCTGGTATGTCTTGAATATATACAATTACAGACACACTGGTGGACTTCTTTTCTGACATGATGCTCCTCTGCCAAGGCTGCTGGAACTCCTGTCAGTAAAGGTTTCAATATTTTCTATTATTCCAAATCGGTGTGGTACAGCCACTTGAAGAACCTCGAGGAACATTAGTTTTCCATGACCTTGTCACTCTGTCAAGGAAAGATGGATACAAATGTGTCCATAAGTGTTATATACACAGGAGTAGAAAGAGGTTGCTTGAAAGGTCTAATTAGTTTTGACTGAATCAGAATGCAGGCTTTATGCATGCCATGATGACAAATCTTCAGAACATCTGCTCTTCAGCCTTAATTTAAACCCTGACAGAACTGATCCCTTTGTGGCTTCCGATGAAATGCCTTATGTTGATCTTTGATGCAGTTTGTGTTAGTGTGTCGACATGAAGGCAGAGTTGACACAAACATGATATATCATGGTGTGTTATCTCAGGTAAAGAGCTGCTTTCTCCCCCTGCCCCCTTCGATATGGAAAAGCCCAGATCTAAAAATACCCCTCTCTAGTTCTAGAATAAATTTTGGCCAGGCTCTAAAGGAAGCCTTCAGGAACATAAACTGGGTAGAATGTTGTAGCTTCACTGCTCACTTTAACCCAGTGGGCCTTAAAATCAGTTTGTGGCTGTCAAGTTGGCCTCTTTTGGCTCTGCATTTCTGCCAAAAATGGATCTCCCTCCTATAGCTTGGGGTTAATGTGCCTTTGGACGCTGTTGTCTGGGTGTTTTTGGAATACATTCCTTATACAACAGCTTTTGCATCCCTTTCTCTCCTGAAGTTACATGGAAGGTGAAAAAATTGAGTTCAGTTTTAGCGATGAAGAACAATAAAAGCACAGAATACCTGTAGTTGAGATAGTAGTTGGCCTTTGGAGATCTACTAGTCCAATCCTCTGCTCTAAGCAGTTGCCAGGTCATGTCCAGCTGGGCTTTGAATATTGTAAGGATGAAGACTGAACAACCTCTTGGAGCATCCTGTTGCTGTGTTTGACCCCCCTTGCAGGGAAAAAGATTTTTCTTAATTTTAAATGAAATCTCCTGTATTTCTGTTTGTACCCACTGCCTCTTCTCCTTTCACTGGATACCACTGAGAGTCCGGTGCCGTCTTCTGTACTTGTCTGCATGCATTGATAAGATCCCTCTTGACACACCTCTTCTTGAGGCTAGCCTCTCAGCCTCTTTTTCTATGACAGGTTCTTCAATCCCTTGATCATGTTTGTGGCCTGTTGATTGTATCACTCCAGTATGTCCATGTTTCTTGTGAACTGGGCAGCCCAGAACTGGACCCAGTACTCTGGATGTTTCGTCAGTCCTGAGCAGAAGTGAAAGATCATCTCCCTTCACCTGCTGACAGTGCTCTTCCTAGGGCATCACAGGAGGCTGTTCTCCTTTGTTGTGTGGGTGCATTACTGACTCATGTTTACCTGGCTGTTTACCTGGACTCCTAGATCCTTTTCTGAAAGAAAAGAGAGAAAGGATAAAATTGTGACTTCCTCAGTGCTGCCAGTAGCTTTTTTGGTACTTCATACTTGACTCAGAGCCATAAGGTTATTTCTTGATAGCCTCAGGGGATCTTGGAATCAGATTTGTAATTCTTACTGTTTTACAGCAAAGCTTAACAATGGGGACAACAAATACTACCACTCTTGGAAATCGAGTGAGAAAAAACTTAAATATTCCCTTTTGTTAAAGGCTATTTTTTTTGGCAGTTTGAGTCCTGGCTCACTGTTTTTAAACATGTGAACTGAGACTATTCCAACAGGCTATTTTATTCTGGGGCTTGCCACCATACCTAATGGATAGGTTCTTTTTCAGTAGCACATTCTCCACTGAAGCCAGCATCATTTGTGTTTTCCAATGGATTTATTGCCCTCTCTTTAATCCTTGTTGCTTTACATGTAGCTGATCTGATAGGCATGCCTTTCTCTTCTATTACATCACTGAAACAGCTTTGTCTGTGAATGAGCAAGTTGTCTGATTTCAAGCACTTGAATATCAACTTGAACTGATAATGATACT